TTTGGTTCTGTTCTGACCGAGGCTTCCCAAGAGCATGAAGCAAACTCCGACCAAAACCTCTTTTATTAATTTACTGTGAATTCTGCTCATTCACATCCAGCAAAGTCCTTCAAGGGAGGATTTACAGTCACAGACCGTATCTGGCTTGGAGAGCTGACAGGCCGATATCTGCAAAATGTGGCAAGGAGTCTCGGAGAGTCACCAACCAATTAAGCGAATTAATTGTCTCCTGCAAACTCCACTCCCCTTTCGCTCCTCTTTTATTTCCTATGGGAGGGGCCATTCATCATCCACCTGTGGCCTTACTCCCAAGTTGACCCCTGTTCTTTACCTGTTCCCTTCATCTGGCAACTCTGTGCATGCGCACACTGGGAACAGACTCCAGTCTGCCTCACTGATGTCTGATTCTGAAGACAGCTGATAACTGGCATATGGCTTTGGCCCCCTCTCTGCCTCCAACACACAGTCATCATCAGAGCCTTCCCCAAACTCCAGGACTGGCCCATGTTCCTCCCCAACCTCCTCACTGTCTGAATCTGCTGCCAGCTCTGCTGGCAGGCCACAACACAACCATGACCTGGATGACCGAGAATTTCCATAGACATCTATAGCAAATTATTCCTGTGCATGATGTAGAAAGTTTTTCTGATGTTAGTACATTTGCTTCCTTGTGCTTTTTTTTTTTTTAAATGACTGTTCTGCAAAATACTTCAGAAAGAACAAAGGGACTGTTAATGTTGTTCACTTTATGATATAAATCCATATGTTTTCCCCTCTGTCTACAGGCTGTTATTGCAGGTGTCCTTATTACTCTGGCTGAGAAACAATGGACCTCGAGATACCTGGTAAATTTATGTGGCTATTCCATGCGATGTCACATTCTAGACAGAATTAAACTAGCATAGATACAAACTGGAAATGTATGGGTTTTTTTTTCTGCCTTAGGCTATAGATCATAGGAATAATGTAAGATTTTTAGTATGCACGATTTAAACTATTCCACCAGATTTACAAAACTGGACAAGAGCTTGAGATATTTCCTGACTTGAAAGAAAACAATAAAAACGACATCAAACACATCAATTTATTTTAAACAAAATAAATGTTTTGCTGCTTTTTTTTTGATGCATAGGAAATGAATAAATGAGACATGCATTTTGGGGAATATCAAGTAGACATAAAAGTCCATCCTTATAAGTTCCTTAGAATATGGGTTTGAGGGCATCTCTTTGTCCACCCAAAGAAATTGAAGGTTTTTTAAATTTTTATTTTAAAGAATGTATGTGTTCTCTTCACATCCATTTTTAATGCCTTTTTATTATTCTAAAATATGTATGTAAGTAAGGGATATATACATACAAGTTTTATATATAATGTATATATGTAAGGGACGTGGTGGCTCAGTGGCTAAGATGCTGAGCTTGTTGATCAGAAAGGTCAGCAGTTCAGCGGTTCCAATCCCTAGCACTGCGTAATGGAGTGAGCTCTCGTTACTTGTCCCAGCTTCTGCCAACCTAGCAGTTCGAAAGCACGTAAAAAATGCAAGTAGAAAAATAGGAATCACTTTTGGTGGGAAGGTAACAGTGCTCCGTACACCTCTGGCATTTAGTTATGTCGGCCACATGACTATGGAGATATCTTCGGACAGCGCCGGCTCTTCAGCTTTGAAATGGAGATGAGCACCGCCCCCTAGAGTCAGGAAGGATTAATACATATATGCAAGGGGAACCTTTACCTTTAATGTGTGTGTGTGTGTGTGTGTGTGTGTGTGTGTGTGTGTGCGTGCGTGTATTCACAGAGACACAGAAACTGCTCCATAAGATCCAAAAACAGTGCTGAAAAAATTATACATTCAGTTTTTTGGAAGAAAAAGTCATAGTTAGAATATGGGACTGTCAGCATCATAAAGTATCTACCAAAGCCCATAAAAACCACTAAGGTCCTATTGCCAATTTTGGAGTCACATAGCCTACTATTATTCCTCCTCCTTTCTGCTTTTGGCTGTTTGTCTGCCTTTTCTGACTTCATAATAAAAAAAAGCAAGACAAAGAAACTATTAATTAGAAAGAAGGAGATGGATCACTATTTGAACCTACTCCCTGGTCCATTCCAAGTCCAATTTAAAGAACTTGAAGAAAAGGAGATATTCCTCATTTCTTGCATCAAATAAGTATCCTCTGGACAGTATACTGAAATGACATTGATCATCAACTCATACCAACACGGGTGTTTCTATTAAAACCATACTTAGAAATTAGTATGTGCAAATTCTATACAGTTCAGCATTTCCTCATTTTTAAGTGATGTATTCTCTCCCTCATTTTGGAGGTGCTTCCTAAAATTGTTATCACTTTTCTCTGTGTTCCCATGTATGTTTGAAAAAATGAAGCTGGTGGCTGCAACAGTCTGATAGAAGCTGTACAGTGTGTGTGTGTGTGTGTGTGTGTGTGTGTGTGTGTGTGTGTGTGTTGTGCATCGTTTCAATCACAATCTTATTGCCACCAGCTTCAATTTTTCATCCAAAACCTGGGGACACCCCTGTTCTTCTGAACAGTAGTGCGAAGAAAAATAATTTTATATGAATGGACAGTAATAATACTGGTTAAAAGGACTTGGATTAAAATTGGATAACCAATTTCATTGTATTTAAGTACAATGACAATAAAGATTATACTTATACTTAATAGAGGCTGTTTGGACCCATCCTCCGAAATCTTCAGCCAGCATGACAGGAAAACCATGTCAGACTTGTGAAAATGTTCATGGCTTGATTGTCTGATTCCTGACATACATAAACATTACATCGAAAATTCAACCTTATTTTGTGACGCTGTGAAATGTGAAACCAAAAGATGATTTAGTTTTGAAGTTCATAGCCTGCGTTTGTGGAAATTTACCCAACAGCGGGCCTTGCTTCTTGGCAATAGGTGTTTAAAATGGCAATTTAACTTCCTCAGTTGAATGGGTGATTCCAAAGGCATCAAAAAGCAAAAACGAGGTCAAGGAATACACAAGATCATCAATAGCTTTTGATAGGCAAAAAAGAAAAGTTTGCTTAGGAATCTCTAGGTTAACGTATCATGACTATTTTCTATTATGTGACGGAATGGGATAACAGACTTTTCTTTCCATTGCAGTGGGAGGCTGCTTTTGTCTTCAGCATCTTCAACATCATCAGCTCTCCTGTTCAAGGTGCTATCGCCATGGGATCACTCCTTCTGGGGCCCTATTGCTATTATTCTTTTGCTGGGGTTTCAGGTACTAACTATCTCAGTTATGCCATTTCATCGTTTTTTCCTTATGGCAAGTTTACTTCTTCGTGCCAAGATCCATTACATTATGAGTGGTATCACCTGGCGCTGCAAATTCTAGATTTGATCTCTGGCCTTGTGATTCTAAGTGCATCTTTGACAACTGTGGTCAAGCTCACAGCAAGACTCTTCCAGTTTGGACATTTAAACGTGAGTATTAATTCAGAGTTGGGGTGGTAATTGCGGAGTGCATTAGGATTCATTCATATAACAAGGGCTCTCTCCCTGGTCCCATGGATCAATTAAAATCTTGTCTATTTGAAAGGTAGCTTTTTGTCCTTTTCCCCATGGCTTTTTGTTCTAGAACAGGGGTAAGCAACCTGTGGCTCTGGAGCCGCATGTGGCTCTTTCATCCCTCTGCTGTGGCTCCCTGTCGCCGGCCGGCTCCACAGTTGATAGAGCTTTCAGTTAGGACAGGGAGAGGAAAAAGGATGCCGCACTAGGAGGGAGACTCTATGGTGGGGGAATTGGCCACTCGGTCAGCAGAGGAAAAGGATGCCTACAGACTCTATGGTGGGGGAAACCAGACTTCCGGTCAGCTCCAGAATTGAACAGGGGGCTTCCGTTTAGGACCTTTGTGGTTCTTTGAGTGTTTAAGGTTGCAGACCCCTGTTCTAGATTGTCTAGAACAGTAGTCTCCAACCTTGGCAACTTTAAGACTTGTGGACTTCAACTCCCAGAGTTCCTCAGCCAGCAAAGCTCTTCAACTCTGGGAGTTGAAGTCCACAGGTCTTAAAATTGCCAAGGTTGGAGACCACTGGTCTAGAAGATCAGAAACTTAGTTACATTTAGTTAAATTTGCTTACTTAATTGCTCAATTATTCTTCTGTTTACTTTTTTCCCTTTTTATATGTTAGTGTTGAATTGTTAGTACTATTTTATAAGGCCTTGGTAAGACCACACTTGGAATATATCATCCAGTTTTGGTTGCCACCATATAAAAAAGACGTTAAGACTCTAGAAAGAGTGCAGAGAGAAGAGCAACAAACATGATTAGGGAACTGGAGGCCAAAAACATATGAAGAACGGTTGCAGGAATTGGTTTTGTCTAGTTTAATGAAAAGAAGGAGTAGGGTATCTGTGTGTGACATGACAGTTACAATATTTGAGGGGCTGCCACAAAGAAGATGGGATCAACCTATTCTCCGAAGCACTTGAAGGGAAGGCAAGAAGCAATGGATGGAAACTAATAAGGGAACCAGGAACCTAGAACTAAGGAGACATTTCCTGATACTTAGAACAAATAATCAGGGGAATAACTTGCCTCCAGAAGTTGTGAAGGCTCCAACACTGGAGATCTTTAAGAAGATGTTGGATAATCATTTGTCTGAAATGGTATATGGTTTCCTATCTGACCTGGGGGTTGGATTAGGAGACCTCCAAGGTCACTTCCAACTCTTTTATTCTGTTATTTAAAGCATCTACCTGTTCCCAATAGCCTGAGGTCATTGTATTACTATCTCACCAGTATTTCTTAAAGTGTCAAGATGCTGTTTCAAACTGAAAGCTATCAACTCTCCTTGTACCTCATGATGTCATATAGGAGGAGTCGATCAGATGTCCGCTTTCTGGATCCACTGGGAGCAAAGTTATTCTGACATAGGCTTCCCCAGCAGCACAAAGTCGAGTCCTCATCCCAATAAACCCCTTTTATTTAATTTACAGTGAATCCTCTCCAGTAAAGTCTTTCCTCTCCCACAGTCTTTCAAGGTAGTTCACAATTACCAACCTTTATCAGGCTTGGAGAGTGGTCAGGCCGATATCTTTCAGATGCCGCAATACTTGGCAAGAATACAGGAATGAACTAATTGTGTCCTGCAAACACCCCTCCCTTTTCGCTCCTCTTTTATTCCCTATNCCCACTTGGAGCTGAACCCAGAAGGACATTTCTTCCATCAGAGGTTTCTCCATAATTCCAGCTAGCTTTTCTCCTTGATTAGTTTCCATCCATTGTTCCTTGTTTTGCCTGCTGGTGCTTTGGAAAAATAAGTTGACCACTCTTCTTTGTGGGCAGCCCCTCAAATACTGGAATACTGCTATCATGCCCCCCCCCCCAGTCCTTCTTTTCTCTAAACTAGCCATACCCAAATCTTGCAAGCGTTCTTCATGTATTTTAGTCTCCAGGCTTATGTTATGCAATCACATTCATCCTGTTGGCAAATTAGTTCGCTAATTATTACTATACCTTTCTATAACCATTGTTTCCAGCTTAATCACCTTCAGATGGATGCAAATTTCAGAGAATCCCATTCCTTCATTCTTATTAAACCCATGATACAAAGACAGAATGCTGTCTTTGGAGATATACCCAAGCATTGGCCAGTCATTTTCAAATTTGTGCATAACTAGAAGGGCTGTAAATTTGTTGACATCCCTAGAGCAAAATTTTATAAAACTGAGTGGCTGCACTCCTGATTTCTTATTTCATTCTCTGTTTACTTTTCCATTTTGGGATCAGTAAAATCCCAAACTTAATGAATATTGAACATACTGAAAATTCATTTGCTCTCACTGTTTTACACTGATGCAGGAATTTAGAACTTAAACTAATAGAATTTATGAGTCAGTTCTGCAGGAGTCATGTGGCGAAGGGGAAAAAATGCATGAATAAGCTATCACATGGTTCCTTACCACACAATATCCCATTGGAATAATCACTGGGAGTCATTATAGACTTCAAATGTCATCTCTAGTTAATTATGGTTTAAGAGGAACTTAGCTAAATCTGAGTACCAGAAAAAACATATAAAACTTTTTCTTAAAAAAGAAGAATAATTTTATACCAAATCGCAAAACTATTTTTTTCAAAAGGCAACTGGACTTTCTTTGCTTTTCCTTGAAGACATATTGCTTCTCATCCAAGAAGCTTCTTCAGTCAGATCTGAAGAAGCTGCTAAGATGAGAAGTGAAACATCTTCAAGGAAAAACAAAGGAAATCCAGTTGCCTTTTGAAAAAGCACCTTTGGTTCTGTTCTGACCGAGGCTTCCCAAGAGCATGAAGCAAACTCCGACCAAAACCTCTTTTATTAATTTACTGTGAATTCTGCTCATTCACATCCAGNCTCTTCTCCTCCTCCTCTCCCCATCCCTCTCCTTCTCCTCCCCTCCCTTCTCCTCCTCTCCAACCTCTTGCTGTTTTTCTCTCAATAGAAATCAGAGAGAGCAAAACCCTACAGAGAAGAACATGCATTCATGTGCTTGTTGATAGGATTCTGATTTTAGCTTTGTTCTCACCATGGAGATCTCAAGCTCATCAGTCGGAGAGGAATGAGCAGGATAGCAGATTGTATGTTCCAGATCCCGCTGAAGAATAAACTATGGACTTCATAAGGCAAAGTAGTCTCTGAAAGTTATGTGAATCTACAACAGATAATGAAGGTTTTCTGATTCACATTGGTCTATCAGCGGCAACACTTAAAATAGATTTTACTTATTAAATTTATTTATTTATTAAATGTGTTTACCACCCATCTTACCATGATGATACCTAAATAAGGTTGTTAAGAAGTCTAGTTATAGGAAAACCAGAAGTGGGGTTAAGGTGATCTTCCATATTTTAACGTTTCTTTCAACCTTAGAAGATATCTAAATCTTTTATATCAATTAAATAAAAATTTTGTTGTGTTTATAATTAACTAAATGACTTATCCTGGCTGAGGGAGCAAAATACTAAATATTTTTGTGGGACATGGACACAAGACATTGCTTCTACCATATCCCAGCTGGCGCAGCTGACAGCCATCTTAAGTTGCTGCAGGTTAGAAGTGGTGTTTTCCTTATTCTCACAATACAAAACATCCCATCTATGGCATCTCAGGAATGAATCATAGGATGAGATGATTGAGCTTCACTTAGCCTGGTCCTTCTGCTATGGGAACATCTCTTTCCCCATCCAATGATTGGACATTGCACAATTCATGTTATTCTCCCCATCATTGGATTATCAGTTTCTCATAAAATCGACCAATTTGTCAGAATGAGTCCTGTTCTGTTTGTGTGCATCATGTTATGTATGTGAATATTTGTCTGAGAGCAAAATTGCATGGGAGATATAAAAATGAAGGACTCTCTGCAGATTTTACTCCACTAGGGTGGTGCTCATCGCGGTTTCAAGGCCATTGAAACAGTGTTGTCTGAACACATTTCCACAGTTTCCATAGAGTGCTGTTACCTTCCCACCAAAGTGGTACCTATTTATCTACTCACATTTGCATGCTTTCAAACCAAGTTGGCAGGAGTTGGGGCAAGAATGGGAGCTCACCCTATCACATGGAGCTCAGGTCTTGAACCTGGGCTGCTGGCTTTCCAGCTGACAAATGGGACCTAAATAGACAAAAAAATATGGAATAGAGGAGGAAAGAGGCTCTTTGCTGATCAAAAATAATTAATTGAGGAAACTGGAGAGAGAGTGGGGGAGGGAGGGAGGGAGGGAGGAGGGAAACAAAAATCCTGAGGCATAATAGCACAGAAAAATAGCCTTTTCTGCTTTATATTTCAAATCACAGTTCATTCAGACTGGGGGGAGAGTTGGGGTTGATATGGGTGCATTGATCTTCTGTAATAAGACTATCAATCTATTGGAAGATCAATATTATGCCAGAAAAAGACCCCACAATGAATGATGAGAAATGAAGGCTAAATAAGTGAATATTAAAACAAATTAAAGCTTGGCCAACCGGCTGCCACCAATCATTGCCCTGAAACTATGCTGCATTAAATTGTATGAGGACAGCAACACTGCCCATTGTTGAAACACCATAAAGATTGGGTGTGGGCAGTGCAACTTATTTCCCACTCAAGGATGGCTGGAAAATACATTAATGTGATTGTGGGGAAGAGACTGAGGTCATTGAGTCCTAACAAAAAATGTTAGGACTCAAGCTTCCTTAGTGTTAACACTGGTTAGCTTTACTTGGCCTAGTCTGTAATGCAATCCAGCCTGTTTGGTTAGAGTCTACATCAAGATATGGTACCTCCCAGGGAGTGTGGTTAGAGGAATTGTGTAATTGCAGCTGTTGCAATGGCAGAAGATTTTTCTGCAAGTTTTCCCCCTCTTTCAGTTGAATGGAAGAAAATATGCTTTTAAGAAAAGAAGTGAATTTTGAAAGAACGTTCTTGAACAGAGCAGGATGTTCTTGCCTTTATTCAAG